TTTTAAAAATCTTTCCAGCTGACGTAACACTGAATTAAGAAACATGTGTGACATTAGGATCTCAAAATATTACACTGGATGTAATCATAACTGAGAGCAAAGTTACATTAGATTAGAAATAGAGATGATTAGTGGCTTGCTCCAGAGAAATGCAGAACATTCTAGCACTAACAATGGAAGCGCTTCTGTTGCCTCAAATCTAGAAGCCTTTGTAGGGCAATTCTGTATTTTACTAGCATAGCATACTCAGCATCATACTTACTGTGGTGCTGGCTGGTGTAGGACCAGGGGTGCCACGACCCTCTTTACCAACAACCTGATTTTGTTCTTCAGGACCACGGGTGACAAGAATTCTGAAGTGCTGCTGCCTCGTGTTTTGATCTGGTCTGATTTTAAACAAGCATCCCTGCCCTTGAGGAATCCGCTCTACTGAATTGCTTCTAGATATTTCTGACCCATTCCTGCCATTTCCATGCAGTTCTGAATTCAATCCATCATCTGTGGGGCTAGTTTCTTCTGTTGGCGGCTGGACAGGGTAAGAAGTACTCCTTTCTAGCCGTATTCGAGGATACCTGACCAATCTGTCCCCTTTTGATCCAGTAAAACCAAAGTTACATTCGCCTCCCGCACCTGTACCACTTGTCTGCGGTTGCTGTAACTGGAGAACAAAGAACTTTTTCCCTGAATTTGCTGACATATCTGGCACATGTTGCAAAGACCAACGCCGGGGTTCTGGGGTGGGAACATTATTTTGAGCCTCAGTACCAAAGGGTAGTAGAGTAACCTGAGGCACGTCTGCATTTGAAGCCCGATGCTGAATCCTCACACCACTTATGTTTAAACCTGAAGCTGCTTCATTTGCCTCATCTTCTTGGGTAGTTGATGAAGCATCCTCAGTCTGGTTATTAGAAGGAATAGTACAAAATATTCTACGATTACAGCAAATAGTTCCATTAATCTGTTGCCCTAACTCTCCCGTCAGCCTGGGTGGAGAATTTTCAGGAGTCACCTCTGGACTGATCGGAGAAGAAGAATGGTTTTCAACAGGGGGTGCATAATGCTCCCTGAAGTCAGAGAATTTACAAGGAAGTGTCTCCTCAGGAGATTCCAGGGTTGCACACTCGTCCGCGCAGCCATTCGCAGCTTTGCGCTGAAGAGAGATCTGCATTGACGAGCTTCTTGTTGGACGCACATCAATACTGTTCAGCAGCTGGGGAATAAACATGGATGTACTCCTTTTTAAGGAGCCTACTTCTTGCAAATCACCGCCACCACCATAATCTGCTCCGTGTCGGGAGAAAGCGTGAGGACTGTTTCTTCTTGGCAAAGTGTGGAATGCCATGAAAAAGTCATCTTCTCTCTCCCGGTCGAGGATCTCTGATTCGGGGGCTGTGTTGCTTCGCCCAGAGCCAAAATGAAACCGCAGCCGATGGGCCATGGTTTTACAGAGAGAAGAAAAGGAGAGGGAGAACAGCAACAATTCAGGCACTGCCAGAAGTTAAAAACCAAAGACATAAACTCCAAGAAAAAGTGTCCCATCTGCCAAACTGTTAGCACTGCAGCCCTGATAGCGACAGATAGCAGAAATAGCCCAAGTGGCAAGCAGCATTCCAGGCATGATTGGGTAAGAGCAATCAGCGCTCCTACACAACTGTGACATAGGGTAGGATGGTGGGAGTCACGTGGCCTGGTTCCCCCTCTCCAATGTAAGCTAGCGGGGGTTTTGTTTTTTCTTTTTTTTTTTTAATGCCAGCAAGAGCCTGAAACAGCACCTTCACAGCTGCTCCTTTTCCATCAGAGAGGAGCGGCCCCAGCGGGAGAGCTCTCACAGCTGACTAAGGCAGCAAACACACTCGGCACTGCTATAAATCTAAACCACATCATATTCACAAGGCACATTTGTATAAAGCACACACACAAAAATTTAACTACAACAAAAACACTTCAATATAGTGTTAAAAGTTTAAGTCAACTCCACATGCAAATGAGAAAAATTATTTCAAGCTTAGCATTTTGGTGTGTGTTACAGCATTAGGCTATCATGGCAGAACATGAATAAATATAGCACGGTTATGCTTTCAATTTTAACTGTGCTCATAACATGATTAAGCAACAAACTTCTTGCCTTTAAAAAGCCACAACTTTTACATTGTCCCTATGAACACAATATAACCTACACTACCCTGCACAGTCCCTTTTAGTAATTAAAAATTACAACAAACAAAGCAATCGTACATATGGCAAAGATTTCTCACACAATAAAAACAGCAGAAATGTGCAAGATGGCAGGAGACAAAGTTTCTTTTTCAGTTTTACCAGGCAGTAAAGACGAGTGAAAACCGGAGACGGGTGTTGCATGTCGTTTTGTACCGATTTGTCTTAAACACCGTACAGAAACTCTGCCCATTGCTGGCCAGCCTCCAGTGAGAAAGTTAGCAATATTACCACGAGTGTGATTGCCAGCACGGAATACAGTTACGTGCTCTGAGAGCCAAAAGACCTCAGAAGAAGAACAGACAGACAGGATACACCAAAACGTAAACCAAACACCCTATATCAGCTCTATCACAACGCAGAAACTCAGTGGTCTGAGGATACTCACATTTGAAGTGTGCTCACAACAGCACTTGTTAACACATACTAGAAAAGAAACTCTGTTTAGCGAGAAGTGTAGCTTCATTTCAATACATGGACATTTGTTCCCTAAGAGAACTTGAAAGCGTAAGTTTTGTCAACAGCTCTGAAAATTTGTAGGTGGAGGGTCAATACTCTATCTAGACATTTAAACCTCTGTTTGCAAGCAGCTTGTTTTCAAAAGACAGAAAATGACCAATCACAAGAGAAATGGAAGCTTAAAACGATATAACTGCCAACAGACAGCACAATCCCCTATTGTTTTAAGTGGACTATGAGCCAAAAAGAAGAAAAACATGAATAGCTTCTACACAGCAACAGTACTGTAGATTGCCTTTTGGAAGCACAGATGTTGATACTATTTTATCTTATTTCTCAGATAAAGCATATTATCCAAGGACACAGTCTCTCCTTGCACCAAAGATGAAGCTTGCATCATACATTTTCTATTTTGATTGGGGGATAGGAAGGGAAGGACGTACTGCAAAGACAGAAAGTGCTTTGGTAATTTGGGAACATGAAGAAGAAACAAAGTTCTTGCAAGAAAAGCCATGCAAGTATTGACAATAAGTATTTCAGAGTAAAGCCAAAATAATCAGTTCAATGTCTCCTCATTCTGTAAACATAACGTGATGGAAATCTGCTACTCTAAAAACCCCAATGTACTTGCTTTGTCAATAGCTCAGAACACCTTCTGAAAGGAAAGCAACGGCTCCTAAACCACAGGTTGCTGCCTTTGCAAGGTGGTTATGAGCCCCAGGGCAGACTGTCTACAGAAGCAGGATCACAGAAGAACAAACAGAAAATGGCTCAACAATAAAGAAGTACCGAAACTGCCAGTATAAGGCCAGTACTGCATACAGAAACTTAAAAATCTTAAGCAATGTATCTGAAATGAGTATACCAAAATCGTCATTTCTCAGCTGTCACTGCGTACAGAATTTTTCTCCTGAACCGCCACCCCATCAGCATCCACAAGGACATCCCCGTGCATGCCACTGCCCTCTGCAGGCCAGAGCCAGGACTCTTCCACGAATTCTGCTTTGTCCTCCATGCCAACGCACCCAACCATCCCCCAGGACACACGCAAGCCACGCAGTAACGTCAGCACCGTCCTGAGCCTGGGCTTACATACTCTGCCTCACAATTACACTTACAGGATTTCTGCATCAGCTGGCAATGGAAGAGGACCTTAAAGCTGGGAAGAACTGACCCATCATCTCCTTTAAGTTCAAAAGATACAAGACAGTTTTAATAGTGCAAGTGGTCATTATGATTATTGTATGTCAACAAATATGCTCACAGTCAGCCCACTCTAAATATACACTGTCACAGACTTACCGATTTACTTCCTCTTAAAGGAGGATATAATCATTTGGCTATAAGTCCTTTTTTTCCCCAGAAGATTACAGCTTGTATGTTTTTCTTTGCTCTATATTTAATAGGAAGACAGAGGAAAAGAATGTATATTTTGAAGACAGATGTTTCCATACTGGGTTTTGTTGAATAAAAGGATCTTCACAACACTGATCCTAATCTTCACAAAGCAAACAAGTTTAGTAGAGATTGTACTGCACCCAACCAAGAAAATGTAATACCTGATCTCACAAACAAAGAGATGGTGTTACAATTTTCAAAAGACAAAAAACCAAAAAAGTCATTCACCCGGTATGTTACTGCACTGGCATATTTAACCTACTATGCTCAGAAAGACAGTGTCACTTATTCCACGTATGGCTCTCTGAAAACCTTTTCTATTTAATCATAACAAAGCAAGAAGCAGCAAGATGTTGGAAGACTTCTCTAGAAGAGCTACTGCATCAGTCAAATTAAGTTCAAGACTAAAAACTCTTAACAACATGCTGGACATTATGAGGCAGAGAACTGAAAATGTAAGAGAGCATTATTTTGCCATTACCTTAAACCTTCATGCACCCGCATCTTGAGTACAAGGTGCAGCTCTAGTAACTACATCCCAAAAAAGGATGCAGAAGTATTAACAGGTACAGGAAAGAGACAGTAAAATGATCAGAGGATGAAGCAGCTGCTTTGTAAGTGACTAAAAATGCTGGGACTTTATCAGTTTGCACTGGAGAAGCCTAAGGAAGAATACGATGAGGTTTTCACTGTCAGAATACTGGGTTAAGGAGGACCATTTTGGTCTGACCAGGCAGGGTACTACTTTTGTGTTTAATGCTCTGACTATTAGTCCCAAAACCAGATGCTTTTTATGCTTCTATCTGCATTTCTTAGCACGCTTACTTAAACAACAGACAAAAATACACCTTTAAGATGTGCTATATTTTCATCAGCTGTGTTACACAGAGCCTTGTGATTAGTAAAACACAATCAAGACAAGCACTCACCAGTCTGTTTTCATCAAACACTTCAAACAGGAGACGATGATTGGTTGGGTTTACCTATGAGAAAATTCAAATAATGTCACTTTAGGTTTATTACCTTGATGGTAACAATATATGGGTACTAGTTCATACAGTGATTAAACCAAGGCAAACAGAACATGACTAACAGGTTTTATGTAAATCTTTAGTTTTACTTAAACAGGAGCACTAGAACACTTTGTTTCTAAACCCTACTGCAACTAGAAATAGCCTAGCAGTTAACATTAAAAGCTCTCATTTACTGTGTTCAATGCAAGACAGTTACTGCGTTTCTCGTACTACAGAAGGCTCCGAAGAGGAAAGGCATGGCTGCTGCATACCGCCGGGCTGCATGCAGCCATACAGCCGAGAGGAATTTGAAGAGGACATCCCTGTGCAAATCACGGCTGCTTCTCTCTCATGTCATCCCCAGTATGTGCTGCATCCAGGAAGGGCTAACCTGGGGGGGGGGAGTTCAGCTGCCTTTAGCACACCAGCAAAGCTAACTTGGTCTCAGGAAAGGTAGCCTGGCCAAAGTGACAAGTTCTGTGTTTTGGGAACAAGTCCCAGGCTAGACAGACTATCAGGGCTCCCAGATTTTTTTTGTTCTACAGCTGCAAAGCTCAACTAAAATGTAGGGAGCAAGAGTTTTACTGTATTTCTTCCAGAATTTCACAATCATCTATATTTTAGACTGTCTATCGCTCACCATTTCTAGCCCATTTATCACACATGCCTGTGGAAAACCCAACAGAAGTCCCTCCAACACTTGAAAACAGCAACTATACCTCCAGAAAATTATTTACATTGAAGTAAATTTAAGCAGAAAGACTGCCAACATTTAAAAGGAAAAAACAAACAAACAAACAAAGAACTCTGGCAGGAAGACAAAACAGCCACTATTAAACAAGAAACACAAGTTCTAGTATTTGATCCACTTGATATATTTTTTCAGAAAAACTTTTTAAGTCAGGTTACTATGTCCCCATAGTTCTGTGGGGGTGGCGATGGACTTCCCAGTTTTGAGAAAATCAGAGAATTGTGACACACAAAAAAGGGTATGCATTACTTTATATATTCACATTATTGTTTAGGATTTTCAGGATGTTTTAACAGAGCTTCTATGAACTATGTCTGTAGTTTAAACAACACAATTGTGGCAGTTTTGTGTATTCTCTTTTCCTGGGAAAAGTAAATTATTAAAAAGGTTACCTTGAATAATATCAGTTAAAATTATAAGCACAAATATACATAACAAGTTTGCTTAAGCCTGAGTAAATATATTTCACTTTAAAATGTGTGAATTTGTTCCTTACAGTCTGTCTTACAACTCAGCATGTTTATGAGACCAGTATTCATAAAGATGGGCTTACGGAGGTGAGGTCACCGATTTCTGAATCACGTATGCAGTTGGGATCAAATTTGGGACAGCTTGAAATGTCTTCAGATAGATAAATAGTCGAAAACTTTCTTTTACTTCCCTTTCCTGTGCAATGGTCGTGATGGTAATCTCTCTACGTAATTTGTCCTCTGTGCTGAAGGCAAAGGCATTTGAACACTTCACCATAAAATGCCCTCTTACTAGGGTAATGACTTTCTAGTAAAATTACAGTATTAAAATTCCTCTGCATTTTTACAGGCAGGCAGCTTAAGTTATCCCATATATATCTCTATAATGAAAGGTGTGCAAACATCAAAAACCATTGTGATGAAAATAGAAAACCTTAGGCACAGTCGTAATTTCGCATCAAGACAGCTCCTACGGACTCTGCATAACTTAAAAAGTGTAAGTCCATATTTTCCCCTCTGACTACATTATAAAAACCAAAGATTTCATTAGATGAAGATGATTTTAGATATGTATTACCTAGTTGCAAAACCTAGAAAAGCTATTTGGTACATGTAAAAATAAAAATTCCACTTAAACCTCAAAAACCTGTATATTAACAATTATGTTGGTGGGAACTATCTATCTAAAAGATCCTATTAGCAAAAGAGTCAATTACTAAGACTCTATAAACAACATTCGATATGATAGCTGTTTTTAACAATTTACAATGACATCTTTTCTCAAGCAGCTGTTTAAGATTAAATTTTAAAAACCACTGAAATTCTACCTAACCTTCTTTTGTGAAAGCTACAGCTGCACTAGAATTAAGTCATTCTTTTTT